ACACATGCTCTCTTGGAAGTTCCTGAAATCTCTGTTGAAAGAAATTTAAAAATTCAAGTATTTCACAATTAAATTATCTTCCCCAGAGTCTTCAAAGCCTCTAGTTAGCGGTCAAGATGGCAGTAAGAGTAAAATACAGTACTCGCCAATATGGGGACCTAGCCGATGGGATAGAGGAATAGTTTTGTTAACAAATAAACCTTTTAACTTTCCCTTAGCCAAGAAATTCTGAATAACTCCAAGGAGAGGTTCCCAGTACACCTATTTCTCACTTATTGACTATCTTGTTATTCAATATTTTGCATTTACAAACAGAGTAAAAATATACTGTCTGACTATTTTCTACATCAGTGACATATCTCTGGCAATAGCAAGGTGTGAGTTAAAAGTAACACTGATTGTGATGGTTAAAGTTATATACCAATTTTGCTGGGGTATGATTTGCAGGGGTTTGGTAGTTACAAAATGATGTAATTTGGCAGTTATGTTAAGATAAAAGTTTGTAATTATGTAATTATGTAGCCATGCTGCATTTTATGAATTGATATGATCATCCTCCATTTTCTCATAATGTCAATTTTTGGATAACAACTTGGTCTTTGGAAACTAACCATGCCAATAAGTGAGGAGTGGGTGGGTAGTCTTATTCTTAGGCAAAAGGTTAAGAGACTTACTTGCCTTTCCAAATTTTTTATCTCAACCCCCCTCCTTTCTTTGCATAGATATCTCCAAACTGTGCTCTTATCTAATTGTAAAGTCATCACCAGTAGGGTTTAGTTGCTATAGAATGTTACCAGTACCAAGAGTATCTGCATTTTAATGGAAGCCTTTAAAAGACCTTAAAGCTTCAGAAGTGAAATCAATAAATCTCTATTGGTGGAATTTGAGATAATATGATAGATGGGCAGGAGACGTTTGAAGTAAGAGTAGGAGCCCACTGTTGTCATTGCTGTTATGTGCAGTGGAGTCCGTACTCATAGTGACCCCTCCTTGGGTTTCCAAGGCAGTATTGCTACGGAAGTAGAAGTAGATTGCCCCACCTTCCTTCTGAGGAGCAGCTGGTGGATTTGAACCACCAGCCTTCTGGTTAGCAGTCAAGTGCCTTAGGCACTATGCTACCAGAACTCCCAGGAGCCCACTGGGCCTATTCAAATCACATGTGGAAGTAAAGTGCTCCTTCTTAGTATTCTAGCTCCTATATCCTTAGTGAGCTTCATGAGGATAGCTCCTGTAGCCTCAGTAATAAACTAAAACAGTTAAATTTTCTTGAAAAGCAAAAAAAATTTAGGTGCTAACTTTCAAATCCTAACCTCTTTTTCATTGCCTGTTTTCTCTGTGGTATTTTGCTTGAGAACTCCCAACACCTCCATTCTCTTTCTCTGGGTTATAAATGTTATTTAGCCTTACCATTCACTTAGAGTTCCAAACTTTTTTTGTGCTTTACTTTTAATTTCATGAGAGGTTTGAGACTAATGGAATGCATGTGGAAGTTTCTTGATTCAGTGGGGGAAATGAAAAAAACATTGTTTAAAATTTAATTAAATATATACAGTGAGACAAACACTAAGCTAAGTTTTAAGGACACAGAGATATACTTGATTTATTTTGTGCCGCACAGTCTTGAGAGTGATACAAGTAAGCAGAGTATTAAAATCTAGTGCAGCAGAGCTATAATAGAGTTGCTCGTCATGGAATATCATAGTGCACAGAAGAATACTAATCAGAGAAATGTTACTAACAAAAACATGAGTAAAATTTAGCTAGGTCACATGGAGATGAGGATGAGTGGTATAGAAAAAGGGTTTGATGGCAAAGGAGGCACTATCTATATAAAACGAAAAAAAAAAAACCAAAACTCATTCCTGTCGTTGATTTCACTCATAGCAATCCCTCCTTGGATTGCTGAGGCGGTATCTCTACGGAAGTAAATTGTCCAATCTTCTTTCTGAGAAGTGGGTGGTGGGTTTGAACCACCAGCCTTCTGGTTAGCAGTCAAGTGCCTTAGACACTACTCCAATATAAGTAACATAATAGGAGACCAAGGCACAGGCCATTTATTAGGGCCAAATGTAAGTTATGAAAGTAAGAATAAAATGATGAGAATAGTATTGGAGGGCCCCTGGTAACTTTAAACAAATGGAAAACATGATCACATTTGCATTTTAGAAAAGTTCTTCTGGAATCAGTGTGGAGATTTATGTAGGTTCTAGACTTGAGTGAGACATGGAGTGTGGAGAGTCATCTAGACTCTGGAGTGGAACACAGCTGGAGGTAGGACATAGAAGGGTTTTGAAAGATGTTTCAGTAAAACAAGTTAAGAAATGAGGGCTTGATCCAGAAGTATGGAGTGGGGAGAATGAATTTGAGATATATTCTCATACGAATGGCATCTGTATGAATATGCAAGAGAAGGAAAAGACACAACTGAGTCTTGGATTGTTGGCACAGTCAGTTAGGTAACATTTCCCTAAACCATGGAGGAGGAACAAGTTTTAAGCAGGGAGATGTGGAGTTCAAATTTGCACAGACTAAATCTTAGATTATTGTAGACCACCCAAGAGATTTCTTCTTGTTAGGTGTCACTGAGTCGGTTTCAACACATAGGGACCCTATGTACAATAGAACGAAACACTGCCTTGTCCTGCACCATCCTCACAATCCTTGATATGTTTGAGCCCATTGTGGTGGCTACCCTGTTTCTAGTAGACATGAATATAGTAGATTTATATCTTTCTGAATCTCCAGAAAAAGATCTGGGTTTTAGAAGTATATTTAGTTGTCAGTTCTTAGCATCTAAGTGATAATAATAGAAGAGATCCCCCAGGGAGAATTGAGACTACTAGAGGACTATTGATAGACCCTAGGCAAATAACAAGAGTAAAAAAAGCCAATAGAAGATGAATGTAATGTGGAAGAGTATTTACATTTTAATGGAAGAAGCAGCCAGAAAGATATTCCAGAACAATAAGGAGAAGAAATTAGTGTCCTTATTGGTTATCAAAAAAAAAAAAAAAAAAAAAAAAACAGACAATAAAAAACCCCAATCACCTTGTTCTAGGTATAGACCCCTCCAGGATTTGGCTCTAGGCAATGACTCCAGTGGTATCAATCTCTGCTCCCCTTCTTACTGGTTTCAGCTCATTGGATTACTCCATGTACATCCATATATTTGTATGCTACCAAGCCTTTCTCACATTCTCACTAGTGTGTACTTTTCTCCCATTCTCTTCTTCAAGCCTAACTCATTGTAATGGATTGAATTGAATCTCCCCCGAAAGTTGTGTCAACTTGGCTCTGCCATGATTCTCAGTGGTTTAGAAGTTATATGATGGTGTAATGTTGCAGATATATAGTGATACTCCATGATGCAACCTGATGTGATAAACTGATCAGGTGATGTAAAGGGAGCTTCCATGGGGTGCAGCCTGCAACATCTTTTATCTTAGAAGAGATAAAAAGAGAGAGAAGGGAGCAGAGAGGGTGTCCTACTAGCACCAAGAAAGAAGAGCCAGGAGTGGAGCTTGTCCTTTGGACCCAGGGTCCCTGCTCCAGGATCCTTGTAAGAACAAGGACACACACAGAGGAAGTCTTCCCCTTGAGGTGGCATTCTGAACTAAGATGTCTAGCCTCCTAAACTGTAAGAGAAAAAGAAAATCTGTTCCTTAAAACCATCCACGTGTGGTATTTCTGTTGTAGCAGCACTAGAGAGCTAAGATACTCATCATCCTGAATTTTCTTCTAATGATTCTTGTTATCATTAGTTGCTGACCAGACAGTTGTGGACTCATGATGACCCCACGTATGTACAAGTAGAACTGCTCAGTAAGCTTTTAAAGGCTGTGACCTTTTGGAAGCAGATCATTAGACTTTACTCTCAAGGTGCCTGTGGGTGAATTTGAACCACTAATCTTTCAGCACTTAAACATTTAGTATATATAAGCCAGATGCTTGATGGAACAGCATCTCAGAAAAGTACATTCATGATACAGAAGCAGAAAATGAAAACCTAATGCTAAGAAAGTTAATTTCAAAACTTGATCACATGATATTCTTGATGTCCTTCATACGTAAGGATAGTGAATACTTGTCTCCCCTTCACTTTCTGCTTTTATAATTTAAACAAATGAATCTTGTATAATAGGCATGTAAAGGACAAATACTGCTAAAACACAAGGTAATTTTTATTTATCCTAAAGGCAGATTTAAGATTCTATATTGCCAGTTTTTCAAAGATATCCTACAAATAATCCTAAACCTTTCTAATTTATTTTAGTATATTAAATGTAAGGCAACCTAGTGAGACTATTCACTTAAAGAGAATAAGGGTTAAATGATAACTTGACTTATCTTTTAAATGACAAAAAATAAAGAAATTGCAAGACCTTTTCACACATTAGATATGTATTGTCATTTATCATCTAGATATCAGGCTAGCAGTGCGAAGTAATAAAACATATCATCGAAAAATGTGCTATAGGTCTGAATCACTCTTTCATTCCACCTCCCAGCTAACTGTAGTATTAAATCAAACAAGCAGAACATTTCCTTAGGCAGCCATTGCCTTTTAATTTCCTGAAGAACCTTAAAATATCATTCATTACAAGTACTACACATATTTGGTTTTTAAAAGTCTCATAAATCAATAGCAGGCTGACTGTAATAATTATTACAAGTTAGTGCATAATTTTCGTGCTGAAGGCTGCATGCAGAACTTTAGCATATGCAAACGAGGCAATTCAAACTGTGTATAGATATTAATATGAAGAAGCAGGTAACGAGGTGCAGGCTATGAATTATGCATCAGGAGTGGCTGATCTTCAATGAGGAAAATGAATTCAGCATGTAATCTAATTAGTGATGGAAGTCTATTACATCTAACGGCAAAAGCAACCGTCCTTGAAACAAATTTATTTACAGTCCATGTTACCACTTGAAACAACTTTGAAATGATGTGTAAGACAACAGCTTAATTGTAAAAATTTTTTGTTTGTTTGTTTCAGTTCTAGACCTGGAAGGCCTCCTAAGAGGACTCAAAGTGTCACCTCCCCTGAGAACTCTCATATCATGCCACATTCTGTCCCTGGCCTCATGTCTCCTGGAATAATCCCTCCAACAGGTAAGAGTGTAACTTATTTAAAATGAAAATATTAAAAATCTGGCAATGTCATAGTTTTTATATGCACCAGTGCTACATGCATCAATTATATTTTCTGCATACTAAGATAATGTTATGGATGATAATTTATTTCAAAACTACCTTGTGGTCACCCTCATCCTTTTATTTAAAATAAAATAAAAGAAGTTTAATTGAACACGGAGCTAGGAGTTATTTCAATTAAGCTCAACGATATTGAATAGCAAAGTATTATCCTTGTTTTGCTTTTAATCAACGGTGCTCAGAGAAAGTAAGTGACTTTCTCAAGGTCAAACAGCTGGTAACTGTCAGTGGTTATTCAAACCTAAGCCTTTCAGTTCTAAATGTATCTCTCATTTATTAAACAAAACAAAACATTTACCATCCAGCCAATTCTGACTCATGGTGACCCAAAGTGTGTCAGAGTAGAACTGTGCTCTAGAGGTTTTTCAAAGCCTGGGATCTTTAGGAAATAGATCACCAGTCATTTCTTCCCATGCACCACTGGGTGGACTAGAACTGCCACATTTTTAGTTAGGAGCTGAGCATTTAACCATTTACACCATCAAGGAGCTCTTGTCATTGGATAATATGTCAGAAGTAGAGGGGAATATATCCAAACAAAAAATAGTAACTGTGTCATATTGGAGACCTATGCTTGGAAATGTCCCCTAATTTTTCCTCAGATCATAATGTAAATAAATTTCCATTTGAAATGTTTATGAAAGGTTTTTAATAGTGCTTAAGGCATCGGACTGCTAACCAAAAGGCTGGCGGTGCAAACCTACCAACTACTCCATGGAAAGAAGACTGGGCAATCTACTTCCGTAAAGGTTTACCACCTCGGAAACCCGAAGGGGGTTGCTATGAGTTGGAATTGACTCGATGACAGTGAGCTTGGATTTTTTTTTCCCCTGCCATCTGAATTTGCTTATTAATTATTTTACTTTTACTTATTTATGCGCACATTTGCCCAGATTTGTGTTGGAACTGAGCCAGATTCCCTGCACAAATTAAAATAATCGTTAAATATCCCCATTATATCTATATCTATCATATATATAATCTTTGTATTAATGTTTGCTGAGGAGATAGATGTGTAAATGCATAATTGTCATGTAATATAACAGATAAAGATAATAATCTAGCAATATGAGAAGAGAGTCTTTTTTTTCCTTCTGAAATTAAATATCAGTGTTGTCTTTTTCTTTTATAATATTTCTCTTTCTCTATGCTCTAATGTAATTATGGATAAAATGACTCCACATTCCATATTTAGTTAAGTACTCCTTGAAGGCAAAGACTGTTTCTAACTCATCTTTATTTTCTCGGCAGCATCTAAATAGTTTCTACATCCTTGTGGACATTGATCAAACATAAATTGAATTGACTTTGAAGCCATTGGCTTACTTTGTATATTTAATTAATTTTTTCGGTGAAACACCACAGGTTTTTAATAGTCAATAATTTAAATTTCATGCAGACTTGTATTTTATTCCAATTTTGCTGATGTAAATAGAGATACAGCAAAATGAAATCAATAACTGAGAAACATCTAATTGTAGCATCAGTATCATTATTTCCATATTTTACTTATTCATGTTTTTCAAATCAATTAATCCTTTTGCCAGAAATTATAATCCCAGATTTGGGGATTGGAAAAGAAATCAGTAATATTTTCAAAACCTTTACTGTTTATATGTAGCTAAGTACACTACATAGGCTATATGGAAATATATCTGACTTTTTCCATATGTTTTATGGTTAAAAGACTTGAGTGTGCTAGAAATATGACCTAAAAGTCTTTGACTTATTTCACCTTTTCTCAAGAAATGTTTTAGAGATTTTAAAAGATGATCATTTTAACAATCATTATTCTGTATTTGGTGAGTTTGTGGTGACTCCCATGTATTATTAATCACAGTAATCTTGTGGGGTAAAAATATTCTATATTGCATTAATAGTAAAATAGGAAAAATCTGTTTCCAAATTATCTGCCAAAATTTAATCTTTTATGATAAAGACTATAAATTCCTTACTGTTAATCAGTATTTTAAAAAGATTTTGTAATAATTTTTGAAAACAAGCAAAACAAGCCAGTTCAAAACAAGCAATATATAAACTTCAAAAACAAATAGCAAAAAACAAAAAAAAATCCAATTTTCAAATATTTTTCAAGATCTAAGTTGTGGTCTACTTATGAATGTTGTTTATACTTTTGTATTCAGAGTAGTACTGTTTGAAGATCAGAAAGAGATGCAAATTTGCCTTCTAATTAGTGTAACTTGGTCCTGTGAAAAAGAAAATTTACTAATTCAAAAAGTTTATAAAATCCAACAGTTTGTTTCTAAACATCCCCTCATCCTTTCTTCCTAACAACTAAATATTGAAATTAAGTACATTCTTTCCTGGATGTCTCTGTCTTCTGAAGGAAAATAATACTATTTTTACATTTTAAAAAATGTATTCTACCAGCCCTAATAATATTATGTATGTAGGTGTCTATAAAAAAAAAAAGACACTGTTCATGGTGTTTTAATTTGTTTGTTTTTTTGTTGTTGTTTGAGAGTGCTTGTGTGTAACCTTAGAAAGGCGCAGATGGTGATAATTCCCAAAATTTATGGTTGTCACCAGATGCCATGGCAACCAGAAGTTGAAGTTAATGAAAGAAAGAAGGTTCTTTGTAGAGTCTCATAACCCAATACCTCCCGCAGTGCTCAGTACATTTATTTGGACTGAGCACTTGTCATAAATCATTTTTAATAATAAATATCAGTTTGGAATAAATTCATCCTAGCAACAGTGTTCTAGTAACATTCATACTTTTTATAGAATCATGTCTATTTTACAATTAGGGAAAGAGTTATTTAGGAATTCAAAATACTCCTCTTATGCCAGGAGTATAATTTGAATAGAGTATTTGGCCAACTACCTGATTTTATTTTTAAAGAAGAATGCGGGCTGTTTCCAAAATACAAACTTTATATATGTGTTATAGAAGTAATTCTGTGAGTCTTAAGTATTTGTATTTAACATTAAAAGACAGGCTGTTCAATACATATATATATATGTACACATATATATGTGTATGTATATATATATATATATTTTTTTTCCCTAATACACTCAAATTCAATAAATGAATGATTTATACTTTTGCTTCTTGGACATGTCTTTTCTCTCACTCTGACCTGATAGACCCATAGCCAATATACATTCAGGGAAAGAAAGCCATTGTATAAATAGGCATGCATTTGTAGATACTTACAACTTGTGCTTTTATAATTTTGGGAAATATACTAGAGGACAGCAGTATTAATCTAGAGTTAATCCCATGGAAGCATGCTTATTTTAAGAAAAGATTAAAGGGAAATGCTCTCATGTGGATTTATAATTCAAAACACATTTTCATAGTGTGTGTTTATTTTGCTGTTAAATATTACTAATCAACAACAACATCTGAACTAACTCTTTTTGTAATAGCAGCCCTTATAATACTTAAAATGTGTTAAATATTTCAACTTCACAGGAGGGAATTCATGTGTTGGAACTGTTTGCTCTATGTTGAGAATATTATTATAATAAATACATCATATTCCATGGGGAAAGTCATAAGTAAGTAAAACAAAAATGCACAAGTAAAGCAGACATAAATGGATTGTTTGTCTTCACTAATAAATTAAACATAACAATCTACTAAATGCCTTACTCAAGGAGTAAAAATAGTATACTAAATTCACTGCCCTTGAGTCTGATCTGACTCCTATTGACCCCTCCTTGAGTTTCTGAGACGGTATCACTACAGAAGTAGATTGCTCAATCTTCCTTCCAAGGAGTGGCTGGTGGGTTTGAACCACCACCCTTCTGGTTAGCAGTCAAGTGCCTTAGACACTACACCACACCTTTTACGTTTGTACAATATATACATGTATGCATTTTCATACATTTATAGATAGAAAATATGTATGAGGCTTCATTACTCTGTGTGTCTAGGTAGTACATTTTACCTAGACGTATTTAACACATGGTCTCATTTGTATTTTTCTTGAAGAGAAAAATGAAATAATATATCTTCTTTTTCCCATTTTGGAAACCTAGCATAAACACTAAAGAGCCCTGGTTGTCCAATGATTAAGCACTAGGCTGCTTATGAAAGGGTTAGAAAGACCTGGCAATCTGCTTTTATAAAGATTGACTCACTTACTCACTCACTGCCATCGAGGCAGATCTGACTAATAGTGACCCCTCCTTGGGTTTCCATCACTATGGAAGTAGATCACTCAATCTTCTTTCCAAGGAGTGGCTGGTGGGTTTGAACTGCTAGCCTTCTGGTTATCAGTCAAATGCCCTAGGCACTATGCTACCAGAGCTCCCTAAACTCACTGCTGTTTAGTTGATTTTGACTCATAGCAACCCCTCCTTGGATTTCTGAGGTAGTGTCTCTGTGGAAGTAGATTGCCCAACCTTCTTTCTGAGGAATGGTTGGTGGGTTTGAACCACCAGCCTTCTGGTTAGCAGTCAAATGCCTTAGGCACAGCCTAGGAAACCCTATGGGGCAGTTCTACTCTGTCCTACAGGGTTGCTGTGTGTTGGAATTAACTCAGTGGTATACTATAATACTAGCATTCATTTCGTAATTTATTTACATAGTTTTAAAACTTGTTTTGTACAGTATTAGTTTTCTGTAAATGCTGTAGTAAATTCCAACAAATTTGGTGTCTTAAAACAACAGAAATGTATTATCTCACAGTTGTGGAGGGCAAAATTAGAATCCCTGGGCTGAAATCAAGGTGTTGGCAGGATCGTGGTCCCTTCAGAGACTTCTAGGGTGATTTTGTTTTTTGCTTCTTCTAGTTTCTGACGGCTGCCAACATTTCTTCTCTTGTGACAGCATCACTTGAATCTGCTTCCATTTTCCTGTACTTTCTTCTCTTCAAAGGAGTTTTGGTGGTGTCATGATTAAAGTATTTGACTGCCAACCA